CCAGGAATTCAAGACCAGTCCTGGCAACACAGGAAAACCCTCTCTCTACAAAAAAATTCTAAAAAAATTAGCCAGGCATGGTGGTGTGCGCTTGCAGTACCAGCTACTTGGGAGGCTAAAGCAGGAGGGTCACTTGAGCTTGGTAGTTCAAGATTGTAGGGAGCTATGATCACACAACTGCACTCCAGCCTGGGCAATAGAAGAAGACTGTCTCCAAAAAAAAAAAAAAAAGACTAACTCTCATGCTCTTTATTTGCCTTCATGCTAACTCATGCTCAAACTCTGTTATGCTTCTGATTCTGTTGTACCAACAGTCCTGAATCCTGGCATCACTGGCCTTATACTTCTCATGAAAGCACAATATAATAACTAAGGAACACATTAGTATAGAGTAGAAGAGAGCTTAGGATGTGGGGCCTTATGATCAAGGGAAGACATGACTGAAAAAGGAAACAAATTTTTTAAAAGAAAGCAGCAGCTATGATAGAAAATCTCTAATAATCAAGCCACAAAATACATTAAACATTCCAGCAAACAGATACACAGCACAGACTACACAACAGGCACTACCATAAGCACTACGGTACTTACACATAGTGATTCATTTCATCCTAACAACTCTAAGGTACTTAGTGTCACTATACCCACTTTACAAAAGAAGAAACCGAGCCCCTAAGATGCTAAGCAATATGTCAAACATCCTACAGCCAAGTAGCAAAGCCAAGAATCAAACCATGGCAATCTGGCTCAAATGTCAATGTTCTTAACTGCTGTACAACGCTGCTTTTCCCCCATAAACAGGTACAAAAGTAACCATCTAATCTCCTCAGAATTTTCCTGCTTTTACAGAGAAGATGCAATCATCCCAGTAATGGCTCTAAAGCTAAGTAAACTAGGTTTAAACCCAGCTCTCCCAATTACTAATGGTGTAACTCTAGGAAAGTCACCTCTTCTCTGTAGAATTGTTTCCCAAAATATTTCTAAGGTTTTTCCTGGTTTTAACAGTATGCTAAAGTAAGAAAAAGAACCAAGCAAGGGTATAAATATATATTACTAATAAAAGGTTATAAACAATATGACATTTCTATAAATATATTAATAAATGTTGACATTACATGCAAAATACTACTTCTTTTTTTTTTTTAATTGAGACAGTCTTGCTCTGTCTCCCAGGCTGGAGTGCAGTGGCGTGATTTTGGCTCACTGCAACCTTCACCTCCCAGGTTCAAGCAATTCTCCTGCCTCAGCCTCCTGAGTAGCTCGGATTACAGGCGTGCACCACCACGCCCACCTAATTTTTTTGTATTTTTAGTAGAGACGGGGTTTCACCATGTTGGCCAGGCTGGTCTCAAACTCCTGACCTCGAGTGATCCCCCCGCCTTGGCTTCCCAAAGTGCTGGGGTTATAGGCATGAGCCACTGTGCCTGGCCTACATGCAAGAATATTTCCAATAATAATTTTAAAGTATAAAAGGCAGAAAGTTTGACAATATTTACATTTAAAATAATCTATTTTTACACTTAATACTAAAGTGGTACACAGCAACATCACTTTGGCCCGTTCTCACATAAACATATGTGGCTTTAAGAGCAACCAGATATAAACCACAGATAACACGAATGTACATGTCAAACCTGAGGGAATTTAGGTTTTTCTTTTTTTTAAAGTATGGCTAGGTGCAGCACATGCCTGTAGTCTCAGCTACTCAGGAAGCTGAGGCAGGAGGATCACTTGAGCCCAGGAGTTCGAGGCTGCAGTGAACTATGATTGTACCACTGCAGTCCAGCCTGGGCAACAGGATAAGACCCCAACTCTAAAAATAAATACATCAGATGTTGTAAATAAGATATAAAATAAGGAAATAAAGAATTAAAAAGACTTCAAGACACATTTAACACGATGAAAAAATGAATAGATTGAGGGGGTACACAAAGTCCTCTAGTTAAATTAAATCATCAAAACCAGAAAAAAACTTGCCCCAGTTTGTTGCTCCAGAGCTTTAGCAGCCCCATCCAAGCTTTCTACTGAAATGCCAATTAAATACATACAAAGGCCTCCCAAGGCTATAAAAGAGCCACTGCCATTCTATTTGCTTTATACAAAAATTAGTATTACACAATATATAACTCAAATACCAAAGTGTACAAAAATTCAACTCTAGAACACACAGTGCTCGTCTTAAGACATAACATCTATTCCATATAGAACAAAGGCATTACCAAAAAAATGTCAGGAATACAGTTTCATTGACGTCAAAGGTCAAAATTTAGATGATCAGTACCTGTCTGAGTAGTGTATGTTATAAACGTATTTGCAACTATTTTTCCTTGTTTTCCTTCAAAATCTTCATCTCCTTCTTCTTCAGATGAAGAGCTAAAGTGTTCTTCAACAAGTTTTTTGGCTGCAGCTTGGTTAGCTTTCTTGATTTCTTCAAATTTTTTCTGAGATATTAGCTCTGTTTAAAAGAAAAAAGTTTCATTTCTGCAAAACAATCTCTCAAAAAGAAAAGCATAATGTGCTATCATTTTACAACATGCATTTCAAAGTCACCTTTGGAGCATTCTATCTTCCTGTAATCCATGAGAAAAGTATTTTGAAATTCCTTGACACACAAATAAAGCAGATACCACAACAAAAACTTACACTTTTGTAAATATCCTGCTAAAATGAAGCAAATTTTTATGAAAACGGTGATTAACAAATCAAGAAAAACATACGAAAATACAATAGAATTATCAAAATACTGGTGATCAACTTCAAAATAAGGACTAACAAAAATTAAGATGTTTTAAAGTACATTGTGCACAATAATTTTTAAGAAGTGAGGAAACATGTCCACAGTGAGCACATAAAGAATCAGGGAAGGTAGGTACTTCAAACTACCACCTTCTGAACAACAGGTAGGATAGGACAGGACGGTCCAGCCCAGTCCAGCCCAGTCCAGCCCAGTCCCACGAAAGAGTTTGTATCAGCAGTACTCACTATACACCTACTATATTTATAATCGGCTTCTTAGGTCAAAAACTTTTTGCCTTTAGTATTGACTTTTTGTGATCACAAAAAAATAAACATTTTACATTAATCCACACAAAATATTAACATGGAAAACATGTTTCTTCCAACTTCATTCCAAAAAGAATGTTAATTTTGGATTTGTTCTTCCACTATTTAGCACTATCTGTACTTCTCATTTTGTTACTTGATTAATCATGCAAAACAAAATCAGATTACTTCACTGCACATACTCCCAAAGAAGCTTCAAACTTCTTGAGAGCAAGGACCACGGGGATTTTCTTCAAGCACTAAGTGTTAATAAGCTCTTATGGACAGCAAACACAGTTTAAGAAGGGAGCCATAAACCTGCAGAATTGATCTGAGTTCATGAATTCCCATCTTGAGAGGATTTTAAATTTACTGATTGACTATTTTAAAATTCACATTGTACTTGAAACTGATGAGCCACTACCAAGAGAAGCTCTCTTAGCTTAGGTGGTATATTCATACTTGATTATGTTCCCTCATGAAACATTTTCCTTTTCTTATTGCAGCCAGTTTGGTTAGGGGTTATTAACAAAACAAACTGAGTATTTCAAGTAAACCAGGACCAAAATGTATATCATGCTTCCCTAGCAATCTTTGAGTACTGGGAAAAAAGAACTGGCTATGAGATATATAACTCAAAACTTGTCATAAAAGAGATGATAAATGTCATTAATCTATGGGAAATTAGCACTTAAAAGACATAAGAAAAAAGGCTGAATTGGACAGAGATAATGAGAACATTCATAACCTGATAAATGTATTCATCTAACATCATCTCAAGGTAAAGACAAGTTGACAACGCAACCTTCTCACGTATTATTTCTTACAGCCAAATCTCAACTATCCAGGTAGAGAATGCTTGTTTTCATTCTACCCACAAGATCTAAGAAAGTTTACCAAACCTGTTCACACGTCTCCATATTGCATACCTTATCATTACCACCATTAACTGCATGCTAAGACAATACCACCTACGTTTAAAATTAGCCTAGGAGAAAAATCACTGATACTCAATTCTGCTACCCACCCGAAAAAAAATGTATCCTGAAATGCATTCCAAACACAAAAATAAAATGATTTCAGGGATTATTCCCTCGGCCCCATGCACAACCATAAGTGCTCCCTGGCTCCACGAAAACATGGTCTCGGATGAAAGGTATTGATATATCGGAGGCAACACCAGATATATCCACAGAAGGACATGGAATTTGTAAATAGGAACTACAGTCATGGAAGGTATCAAAAGCTCAAGTGCTTACAAGGAATAGAAAAGTCAAGAAACAAAGGCAAAGGTAAAGATGACAAAAGACACCTGGCTCCAGAAATGAGAGAGAATGTGAGAGGGAGTGCCCAAGTCCAATCTAAATGGGATTTCTGTGACTCAGCTGAGCTGACTGTTGCCATGCACAAAGATACTAAAGCCACAAGGTTGTTAACCAGATTTTTAAAAACGACAAACAAACGCTGACAACCAATCCACATATAAAACTGTGTTAACCAAACAACACTATAGACCAAATCAGAACACCGGGCCACACTTTACAACTTATGGTCTGGAGATTCAAGCAGGCAAGAGTGGAGGGAAGGAACAAAGGTAATACCACCTAAAATTAAGATGAAAGAGGTGCGATGGAAATCTACCTAGAGTGCCGAAAAGAGCTGCCACCTGAAAGGCTGGAGAAGTGGGCCGGAAAACAAACTCCCGAAGGAGGGGAAAAGCAGTGAAAGAGAGAAGGCGAGGGCGGAGGCGGTCCTGACTAGCAACTGCCTTAGGAGGCATCCAGGTGAGCCCGCGGGCGGGAGCCATTCTCACCGCTGGCTGCGGGAGTCTGCAGGGCTTGGGATCCCGCTGGGCTGTGCCTGCTCCCTGCAGCCGCCGAGGTCGCGACTCCTCCGGGACTGGCGCCAAAAGGAACGGCGCCCACCGACCCCTTCTCTCGCCCTCCTCCGGCGCCGCGGAGATGGATTCCATTTCCTGAGGGGGCGGCAGTGGCCCGTCCCCGGGCTCGGCCTCTGCCACCGGCCACCTGGCGCCAGGAAGCTTCCATCCCTGCAGAGGAGAAAAAAAAAAAAGAGTGGAAGGAGGTGAGCGCAGCGACGACCGAGGCGAAGGAGGAGAGAGTCGGTGCGGAAACCCCGTATGAGGGACCGAGTGAGGAAGGTTCCTGCAGGACGGGCACCGAGTTTCAGGAGGTCGCGGCCCTGCCTTTACTGGAGGGCGAGTCCCCGCCAAGCCCGGGCTTTGGAGATGGACCGAAGAGGCGAGGGAGGACTAGGCAGAGAAATAAACCGCGGAGCAAGGAGCACACAGTGCCCAAGACGGAAAGCCGGAGGAGAAGAGGAAAGCGCCTCCTCAGCCTCTGGGGGAGCGTAGTAGGGGAAGAGTCACAGACTGACCCTGCGGCTCCTGCCCGGAACCAACCGCAGCGGTAGACCCCACTGAAAGCTACGTCTCCTTACCGACGGCGCTCGCCCCAACAGACTACAACTCCCAGAAGCCCTCGCCCGCGGTCCGGCGACTGCGTGGCAGCACAGGCCGCTTCCTTATCCGGAAAAGTGCGGGGGTTGGGCGTGAGGGGAACCCCAAGCGCCTGCGCTGGCCTCTGAAAACTACAACTCCCGGCGTGCTCTGGGGCTAGGGAGGGGTCGAAGGTCATAGGGGCGGACGATGGTGGAGGTGGGCGGGTCCAGAGGGTCTAGTGACTCCCCAATTTGCTTCTGCTTCTGCAGGACTGCCCTAAACCCAGCTGGGTATGAGGATTTCATGGCTCTGTCCCAATTGGCTCTCTGTCATATTTTATTATCCTTGCCTTTGGGCTTGCGGATGGCAGGAGGTGTCAATGTAAAATAATCAAAAGCACAAAGTTTGAGGATAGCCCACCTTAGAAACACCGACTCCTAGGAAAGCAGTCAGCCTTCCGAGGTAGAGATTTAAGATTTCGTTTATGGAGGCAGAAACGGAGACGTTTTTAGGAGGATGACAACATTTTCTCATACAAGGTTAGCGAATAGTTACAACAATTTGCTTATAGACAGTATTTCTTTTTGGGAAGGGTACGTTTAACGTTTTTCATAAAGGATTTTCTTTCATCTGATCTAAGCAAACCAGGGCAACAAAGCAGAACTTAATCTATAAGGATCATTAAGAAGGCAGGAAGTTTTTGTCCTTAACTTCGTTTAATTCTCTCTACCCATTGTATAGAACAAGAAAAATAAGAAAGCAAGTTAATCTGTAATCTGAGAAACAGAAGTTGTAACCATGTGTGACTCCGATGACAGTCACATCTCTCTCCAGGCTTAGTGAGTTTTAGGTCCCAACAGCCTTTAAATTGTATTTATTTTCATAGGGAAGTCTCATTAACAGGGAAGGCACTTACATTGAAAACGCTTTGAGGTTGGCCACTGTGAAGGAGGGAAATTTGGGGGAGAGTAGCAGGAAAGTGGCTTGAGTAGTAAAAGTACCATTCTAAAATGCTAGAGCAATGTAGAAAATAAATCTAAAACCTGTTATTGTCATAGTCCTTTGTAGTGTGCAATGAGGCTTCCCTGGAACATGATAATTTTTACCTTCACAGCATCTCCCTAAAATAAATTTTGTTAAGGAAAATAGTTGAGGGCCAGGACCTAAATCTTATGATTTTGCTGAGTTTTCCTGTAAGATACATATGCATATATACAGTCGGGTAGATTGCAAAAATTCATTCTGGGGTCTATCTGGGACTGAGAAACATATTGATGGCTCTGTGGGATTATACAGTCCTTAAACAGTCCTTCAACTTAGTTAATTCTTCTATATTTATCATAAATTTCTATTATAATAGATAGAATTTGTTAGATGTCAGGCACTGTTTAAAGTGTTTTACGTTATGTATTAACTAATTTCGTACTCACAGTAACCCTATTTATTATCCCCATTTTACAACTGAGAACACTGAGGCACAGAGAGATTAAGCAATTTGCCCTTGATCATACAGCTAGGAAGTAGTGAAGCCAAGATTCTATCCTAAGTAGTCTAATATTAGAAACCATGCTTTTAATGTCTTAAACATAGACATTGCAAAATTGCCTGTACATTAACCAAACTCAAAAATGAAGTCCCATGGCCAGGCATGGTGTCTTACGCCTGTAATCCTAGCACTTTGGGAGGCCGAGGCAGGTGGATCACCTTAGGTCAGGGGTTTGAGGCCAGCCTGGCCAACATGGCGAAACCCTGTCTCTATTAAAAATACAAAAATTAGCCGGGCATGGTGGTGGGTGCCTATAATCACAGCTACTAGGGTGGCTGAGGCAGGAGAATCATTTGAACCCAGGGGGCGGAGGTTGCAATGAGCCAAGATCATGCCATTTCACTCCAGCCTAGGTGAAAGAGCAAAACTCCATCTCAAAAAAATGAAAAGAAAAAAAGAAATAACATATCTGAGAATGATATAACTTCATTGGTTAGAAACTAAGAGGTGCACAGCAGCTCTCTTAATGCTGCACTTGTATAAGAACTGTAAGTTTAAAGCTGCAACCAGCTTTCAAAGTTTGAAAACCCTGAAGAGAGATTTTTCTTCAGTGGGGTTTTCACATACAGGAAAGGAGCTGTTAAACTCTGAGAGAGAATATAGTAATTATCACTAGGTAATGTCCAAGAAGTATTCAGTGGCTACTAAAAAGAGAGATCCTTCTTAGAGTTATATTATATGCCAGAGAGCTGGACTAGCATTATATCTAAATCTCCATGTCAAACTTTCTTGAGAAATTGTTTCTGTTCCCGTGAATACTTAATAGCTAATAACAGTGACTGACAGTCCTTGAGTGCTTTCTACATGCCAGCATTCTTCTAGGTCCTTTTTTCTTTTACTCATCTAATTTTCACAACAACCATGAAGTAGGTATTGTTATGGTCAAAACAATTTTTCTATTATACTTTAAGTTCTAGGGTACATGTGCACAACGTGCAAGTTTGTTACATAGGTATACATGTGCCGTGTTGGTTGGCTGCACCCGTCAACTCGTCATTTACATTAGGTATTTCTCCTAACGCTATCCCTCCACCAGCCCCCAACCCTGCAACAGGCCGTGATGTGTGATGTTCCCCTCCCTGTGTCCATGTGTTCTCATTGTTCAACTCCCACTTATGACTGAGAGCATGTGGTGTTTGGTCTTCTGTCCTTGTGATATTTTGCTGAGAATGATGGTTTCCAGCTTCATCTATGTCCCTGCAAAGGACATGAACTCATCCTTTTCTATGGCTGCATAGTGTTCCATAGTGTATATGTGACGCATTTTCTTTATCCAATCTATTATTGATGAACATTTGGGTTGGTTCTAGGTCTTTGCTATTGTGAATAGGGCCTCAGTAAACATGCCTGTGCATGTGTCTTTATAGTAGCATGATTTATAATCCTTTGGGTATATGCCCAGTAATGGGATTGCTGAGTCAAATGGTATTTCTAATTCTAGATCCTTGAGGAATCGCTACACTGTCTTCCACAATGGATGAAATCATTTACACTCCCACCAACAGTGTGAAGGCATTCCTATTTCTCCACATCCTCTCCAGCATCTGTTGTTTCCTGACTTTTTAATGATTGCCATTCTAACTGATGTGAGATGGTATCTCATTGTGGTTTTGATTTGCATTTCTCTGATGACCAGTGATGATGAGCATTTTTTCATGTGTCTGTTGGCTGCATAATTGTCTTCTTTTGAGAAGTGTCTGTCCATATATTTTGCCACATCCTTTTTGATGGGGTTGTTTTTTTCTTGTAAATTTGTTTAAGTTCTTTGTAGATTCTGGATATTAGCCCTTTGTCAGATGGATAGATTGCAAAAATTTTCTCCCATTCTGTAGGTTGCCTGTTCACTCTGATGATAGTTTCTTTTGCTGTGCAGAAACTCTTTAGTTTAATTAGATGCCATTTGTTTAGTTTGGCCTTTATTGCCATTGCTTTTGGTGTTTTAGACATGAAGCCTTTGCCCGTGCCTATGTCCTGAATTGCATCATCTAGGTATTCTTCTAGGGTTTTTATGGTTTTAGGTCTTGCATTTAAGTCTTTAATCCATCTTGAGTTAATCTTTGTGTAAGGTGTAAGGAAGGGATCCAGTTTCAGTTTTCTGCATATGGCTAGCCATTTTTCCCAACACCATTTATTAAATAGGGAATCCTTTCCCCATTGCTTGTTTTTGTCAGGTTTGTCAAAGGTCAGATGGTTGTAGATATGTGGTGTTATTTCTGAGGACTCTGTTCTGTTCCATTGGTCTACATATCTGTTTTGGTACTAGTACCATGCTGTTTTGGTTACTATAGCCTTCTAGTATAATTTGAAGTCAGGTAGTGTGATGCCTCTAGCTTTGTTCTTTTTGCTTAAAATTATCTTGGCTATATGGTCTCTTTTTTGGTTCCATGTTAAATTTAAAATAGTTTTTTCTAATTCTGTGAAGGAAGTCAATGGTAGCTTGATAGGGATGGCATTGAATCTATAAATTACTTTGGGCAGTATGGCCATTTTCACAATATTGATTCTTCCTATCCATGAGCATGGAATGTTTTTCCATTTGTTTGTGTCTTTTCTTATTTCCTTGAGCAGTGGTTTGTAGTTCTCCTTGAAGAGGTCCTTCACATCCCTTGTAAGTTGTATTCCTAGGTATTTTATTCTCTTTGTAGTAAATATGAATGGGAGTTCACTCATGATTTGGCTCTCTGTCTATTCTTGGTGTATAGGAATGCTTGTGATTTTTGCACATTGATTTTGTATGCTGAAGTTGCTTATCAGCTTAAGGAAATTTTGGGCTGAGATAATGGGGTTTTCTAAATATATAATCGTGCCATCTGCAAACATAGACAATTTGACTTCCTCTTTTCCTAATTGAATACCCACCTTTTATTTCTTTCTCTTGCCTGATTGCCCTGGCCAGAACTGCCAATACTATGTTGAATAGGAGTGGTTAGAGAGGGCATCCTTGTCTTGTGCCAGTTTTTGAAGGGAATGCTTCCAGTTTTTGCCCATTCAGTAAGATGTTGGCTGTGGGTTTGTCATAAATAGCTCTTATTATTTTGATATGTGTTCCATTAATAACTAGTTTATTGAAAGTTTTTAGAATGAAAGACTGTTGAATTTTGTTGAAGGCCTTTTCTGCATCTATGGAGTTAATTAATCTTGTGGTTGTTGTCGTTGGTTCTGTTTATGTGATGAATTATGTTTATTGATTTTCGTATGTTGAACAAGTCTTGCATCCCGGGGATGAGGCCGACTTGATCGTGGTGGATAAGCTTTTTGATGTGCTGCTGGATTCAGTTTGCCAATATTTTATTGAGGATTTTCACATGGATGTTCATCAGGAATATTGTCGTAAAATTATCTTTTTTTGTGGTGTCTCTGCCAGGCTTTGGTATCGGATGATGTTGGCTTCATAAAATGAGTTAGGGAGGATTCCTTCTTTTTCTTTTGATTGGAATAGTTTCAGAAGGAATGGTACCAACTCCTCCTTGTACCTCTAGTAGAATTCGGCTGTGAATCCGTCTGGTCCTGGACTTTTTTTGGTTGGTAGGCTATTAATTATTGCCCCAATTTCAGAGCCTGCTATTGATCTATTCAGGGATTCAACTTCTTCCTGGTTTAGTCTTGGGAGAGTATAATTTTCCAGGAAATTATCCATCTCTTCTAGGCTTTCTAGTTTATTTGCGTAGAGGTGTTTATAGTATTCTCTGATGGTAGTTTGTATTTCTGTGGGGTCGGTGGTGATATCCCCTTTATCATTTTTTTATTGCATCTATTTGATTCTTCTCTTTTTCTTCTTTATTAATCTTGCTAGCGGTCTATTTTGTTGATCTTTTCATAAAACCAGCTCCTGGATTCATTGATTTTTTTGAAGGTTTTTTTGTGTCTCTATCTCCTTAAGTTCTGCTCTGATCTTAGTTATTTCTTGTCTTCTGCTAGCTTCTGTGTTTGCTCTTGCTTCTCTAGTTCTTTTCCTTGTGATGTTAGGGTGTCGATTTTAGATCTTTCCTTCTT